CCTACCCCCCCACCACACTCTCTCTCTCTCTCTCTCCCTCCCTCCCTCCCTCTCTCTCACACCGTTATAAGATGTCACTGCCAATCTTTTCACCTTTATTCTCCCCTTTAAAGCTTTCTTTCTTGGTAACTCTCACAATACAATCTATTCTGGCACCTTCTCTCTCATGAAATTGCACTAAGTTGTTGTTTTTAGCTGATTTTTGCAATGTTTGACTTGGATTTTCAGGAAGATAAAGGAAGGTGTTATTCGTGGGCGTTGAGGCAAAGCTTTGGGAAGAAGAAGATGATGGTGGTGAGAGCTGGGCCAAAGAGAATAGCTTTTGATAAAGAATGCAGAGAAGCTTTACTTTCTGGTATCAATAAGATTGCTGATGCTGTTTCTGTCACTTTAGGACCTAAAGGTATAATGGGCTTAATTTCCTGCTTCTTTTAAATTCTTAGACTTGCTTTTATCATTTGTATTGGTCTATATTTCCATTTATAATTCCTATAAACACCTTAGAGGAAATGACAATTCATGGAAAAGGAGAACAAAGTTGTTGCTTAATTCAAAATTGTGTTGCTCATGTGGGCTGACCCGACCCAGTTAGGAGAAGTTAAGAAAGACAACAACGACACCAACAACAACAACAAAACCAGTGTAGTCCCACAAGTGGTGTCTTGGAAGGGTAGAGTGTACACAGACCTTACCCCTGATATTAAAAAGGCTGAGAGGATATTTCCGGTAGACCCTCGGCTCGGGAAGGAAAAAGGGGAGAGGCAATAACAAGCAAACTAATCTGACAATTGAAGCGAAACTAACACTAAGTAATGCAATCAGAAAAACGAAACAAAGGCATCAACAAGTAATAACAGAAATCTAGGGATAAAAAAATATACGAGGAGAAGAAAGAAATTTAAATAAAAGGTAAACATTAACCGTGTTGTTCAAACACATGATTGGAAGGAATAAGTTGGTTTACACCTTTTCTTGTCAATGAAATGTATATGAGGAGCTTGTTTTTTAAACATAGTGTATATGATATGTTGTCTGCCTGCTTGTTTTGAAATGAATGCATGTGTGACTAATTATGCAGGGCGCAACGTAGTTCTCTCTGAATCTGGTGTGCTGAAAGTAATTAATGATGGTGTTACCATAGCTCAAGCCATAGAACTTCCAGATACAATTGAAAATGCAGGAGTGACACTTATCAAGGAGGTTATTATTCCCTGAAACTGTAGTTGGATTATTGAATATTTGAGGAACTCCTAATCATTTTATGTCTATTGCAGGTTGCAACTAAGACCAACAGTTTAGCTGGGGATGGTACAACTACTGCAATTGTTTTGGCTCGTGAGATGGTCAAAGCTGGTATGCTAGCCGTTGCTTTTGGGGCTAACCCTGTTTCTATGAAGAAAGGGATGGAGCAGACAGTAAGAGAGCTGGTCAAAATTTTGAAGAAGAAAAGCTATCCCATTAGAGGAAATGATGATATTAAAGGTAACTTGCTTTATTTTAATACTTATTCAACTTAGAAAATTTCTCTATTCACTTTAAAAAGTAAAAGGTTTTGATCTCTCTCTCTCTCGCTCTCTCTTTTTACTATTTGCAGCTGTAGCTTCAATATCGGCTGGAAATGATGAGTTCATTGGCAGTTTGATCGCTGAGGCAATTAAGAAGATTGGTTCCAATGGCGTGATATGTATTGAGTCTTCCTCATCAGCTGAAACCTCAGTCATGGTTGAAGAAGGAATGAAGGTAATATCTGCTCTTCAAAGTGTTTCTCTTTGACTTCAAATTCACAGAATTGTAATTGATCATACTGTACTGAAAAATAAGATATCAGGTTGGTTGAAAATGATCCCTCCTTAACTTTTCCAATCCTTTCAGGTTTGAAGTAAATTTCAAAGCTCAGACATAATGCCATAAGAACCTTAGTTGCTTGATTGCAGTTCTACTAAGAAATTGAATTATCTAGTTATCCATTTATGTTCTTTAGCTAATTTCATCTTCTCATTTGTAAAGATTCTTTTTCTTCCATTTGTTTTCATTATTTTCTTGATTTGTATTCAGGCATTCTTTTCCTACAGATTGACAAGGGGTACATGTCACCCCATTTCATCAACAATCCCAACAAATCTATAGTAGAGTTTGAAAATGCCAAAGTTCTGGTAACCGATCAAAAGATATCTTCTGTCAAAGAAATTGTTCCTTTGCTAGAGAAGGCCACACAGCTGAGTGTGCCACTGCTGATTTTTGCTGAGGATATTTCAAGCCAAGTGCTAGAAACACTAGTCATTAACAAGATGCAAGGAATGCTTAATGTTGCTGTTGTGAAATGTCCAGGATTTGGAGAAGGAAAGAAAGCTGTATTGCAAGACATTGCCCTGTTGACAGGTGAAGCAAATACTTCATTCTGTATTGAAATAGGTTAATAAGTGTATCCAAACCCAAAAAATAAAGTGTTGAAATGGAATTAGTGTATAGAGTGGTCTTGCAAACAAGCGCCACCAAGAGAGAGATACAGAGACAGACAGAGACAGACAGAGATTCTTTATCATGTGGCTTGTAAAGTCTTGATATTATGTGAACTTTCCCTGTGAGTGAACATCAGTTTTAACTCATTTTGAGGATGGATTTGAAGCTAGGTGATATTATCCACAGTGCATGTATACACAATTTTCCTAATGCTTCAGCACAAATACATTGGTTTTACAGTTAGCCAAATCAGCATTTTCTGTAATGTACATTTGCTCTAACAATGCTCGCAAAAGAGGTTTAACCATTAATAGTTTTTGTATGCAACATGGGCTTCTCAAGAGATAGTGTTGCCGCAAGTGCCAAGTATCTGCCAAAATCTCCTTTACCATCACATCTAACTGACATTGTATTGCAATTAGGTGCTGATTTTCTTTCTGGAGACTTAGGCCTGAATCTTGAAGGTGCAACCTCAGATCAGCTTGGTATTGCTCGGAAAATAACAATAACCAGCAATTCTACGACCATCGTGGCTGATCCCTCCACAAAAGCTGAAATACAAGCCAGAATAATGCAGATAAAGAAGGATCTTGCAGAAACAGATAGTAAATATCTGTCAGAGAAGCTTTCAGAAAGAATAGCAAAACTCTCTGGTGGTGTGGCCATATTGAAGGTCTGTATTGATTAAGGTGTAATGTTTCAGATCAAACATTCGAGACAGCCATTTACAATATATTTGAATCTTATCCTGCTTGTTGTATCTGTTATAATCGAGCATATAATCGAGTTTATATTCAGATTGCTGCAATTTTAGAAGTGAATAAATTTGAAATGTATAATTGACTTTTAAAGCAGTTAAAATGGTTCAAACTGCTAGGAATGACTTTGCTTTAATAATTAAACAGGACTACCTCATTCTGACTGTAGTTGTCACATTTTGCTGGTAGATGTGTTTGCTCTGGGATGATAACACAAAGTGTTAACCTGTGAGCTGGCATACTGATTATGTTGAAGTGAAAATCTAGTTCAACAGAAATTGATTATCCTTCATGTCCAAATGGTAAAAGATGTTAACTTTTCCTAGAGTGCCCATTTCACACTTGTTATCTTTATATTTCCAAAAAAACATTCCGTTATTTTGTAGATGTATTCTTGCACTTGTATATTTGTTTCTCTTTTCAAAAGAGATATTCCCTGATAAGATCCTGTATGGATTCAGGTAGGAGCACATACTGAAACAGAACTGGAAGACCGAAAGCTGAGAATTGAGGATGCAAAAAGTGCTACATTTGCTGCCATGGATGAAGGAATAGTGCCTGGTGGTGGTGCCACTTTTATTCATCTCTCTGAACACGTAGCCTTCATAAAAGAATCGTTTCAAGATCCAGATGAGCAGATCGGTGCTGACATAATAGGAATGGTATGGCATATTGATTCCCTTTTTTTATGCATATTGCATTCCTCAATTTGAACATGGACCAAATATTGGGAGCCTCGCGTTTTACATGTTGGAAAAAGAAACATCTATGCATTCGTTATTGTTGTGTACAAGTTTATTTGCTCTCCGACTACTATCTTTTGCTTCTTTTCTCCTATTTGTTTGCTCTTTAAGTCAGTATAGACAAGTGAATTTTGAAGAGACTTTCTGAGTTTATACTCATGAGTAACCTCTCTAGCTTCCAGAATTCAATGGTTTACAACTTATTTCAGGCACTTCTTGCACCAGCAAAGCTGATTGCCGCAAATGCAGGAATGGATGGAGATGTAGTTGTGGAAGAAGTTAGAGGTTGTGACTGGCAAATGGGATATAATGCCATGACCGGAAGATATGAAGACCTTCTTGCTTCTGGGGTTATTGATCCTTGCCGTGTTTCAAGGTGTGCCCTTCAGAATGCTGTCTCTGTTGCTGGTATAGTCCTAACTACTCAAGCAATAATGGTAGAGAAAACCAAGGAGCCCAAACCGCTTGTTCCTCAGATTCCTGGTATAACTCCTTAAAAGGATAAAAGATAAACCCTGGTTGAAGCACTTGATCAGGAGAGGGTCAAATTCATGTTGTTGTCATAGTAAAAGGCAAGCTCTACTCTGCCGTTTTGAATTGGCTGAGACATTGGAAAGAGTTGAGAATTTTGGTCCGTGCTGGTACTATTGATTGTGTCATTGTAGATAAAATTGTATCCAAGCACAAACATTTTCTAGTGCTGATTCTTGGTAGGAAAATATAGATATCCTCGAGTATATGGGAACTGGTTTGATCCCAGCAGCACAGAGTCTTCTTGTTTTAGTGGTACTTGTTCCTGCAGGAGGAGCATCATCATTTTCAGGTTTCTATAAGTAGTCGGTCCAGTAGATTTCGGGTACCAAATGTTTAAGAACAAAAAGTAAGGAAAAAGCAGCTGCAATTGCTGACAGGTTTCAGATGAATGGATATGAAAATCAAAATCCCATGTTAATAAAATGGCTAAATAGCTGTTTTACTTTGTAAACCCCGACCCTGCCCCCCTCTTTCTTTGAAATCATTTTTGTTCTATTTCTATTCTGTTTCATTTTGCATGTATTTGGGTTCATTCTGGACTTCATGGTGTGTAGCAGTAGTTTCATAGCCCACACTGATTGAAGTTTTCAATTGTGAGCTGGGAGAATGTTTATGTTCAGCAAAGCTAAGAAGAGTTTAACATTAAATCAAAGTTAATTCTACAAAACATTTGGCACTGAAGTTTACGTAGTAATGCAAAATGAACCTGGAAGCAGGTTCCAAATAATAGTTCTGTTTGTAGATATTCTTGCTGCAGGCCCTCCATTTAATTGTCATAGTTTTACCAGCAAGATGTAGTGAGATGGATGGGATCTCTCTACCTTTAACTAGAGGTCTCGAGTTAGACTCATAGGAATAGAAAAATTCTTGGTAGGAAACATTTCTTCGTTAAAGGGATCAAATGCAACGTGAATCTTGATTAGTAGAGCCAGTGAGCTTCATGTACTAGATGGATTACTTGGAATAGTATAAATTGATGAATTTTGTCCCAAGTGAATATTTGAGCTTTTCAGTTGCTCAAACAGAAAATTCACCCTAGGGCTACTTACAAAAAAATAAGAAAATAATTTGCGGTCAATTCTCTAATGATCAATTATTTACAAGTTACGACAACAAACCCGGTAGTCTTCTATAAGTGGGGTCTGGAAAGGGTAAGATATAAAAGTTACTATGCCGTAATAATAAATCTTAGGAATTCAACTTCATTCTAAGTAGTAGATTTTATTGAAAATCTAATATTTTAGAACTATCTAACAAAAGCCCTTTTATTTTTTGATCATTAGATTAGAATTTTAAATGGATTCAACATCATATATCTAGAATATTGGTGAAAAAAGTATGGGCTAGCCAGTTTTTGGATTGGTAATTGAAAAATAGGCCACCGTTCACAAAGTTATTGAAAAATAGCCATTATTTTGCTGCAACATGTAAAGTTCCAGTGTAATATACTGGAGATTGGTGCACCTGTCTATGAACTTCCAGCTATTATGATTTATGCTGGAACTCCAGCACACGGAAAGTTCCAGCATAATATACTGGAGATTGGAGCATATTATGTTGGAACTCCAGTATATTATGCTGGAACTCCAGTATATTATGCTGGAAGTTCACATGTAAAAAATTCGAACTCCAGTATATTATGCTGGAATATTTTTCGGATTTTGAACTGTATTTTCGTCGGATTTATCTTTACATGAAAAGTGGCTAAATTTTAATCATGTTTAAAACTATGACTATTTTTTAATTAGCACTTGTAACTATTTTTCAATTAGAATATTATTGTCATTATGTAATAGAAGAATGTTTACTCTTCCATTCAAATTATAAATGGTCACAAAATATCATTTTCTCATGTAAATATGCCATGAATTAGGTATTTGGCTAGTTCTTAAGTAAGGACTTGTCTCTTAGCAATTAGCCGATCGAGGAGTCTATAACCCTATATACCTATTACATAATGACATCTTTATTAAATCTATGACTTCTTGTGTAGTTATGTATCATTGTTCTTTGACATCACATGGCAAAATTATTACGATTTACACTTAAAATTGTATTTACACATATAATACACAAATTCTCCCATAAATTATGCTAATATGAACAGTGTAGAGTTTGATACTGGAAATCGGACATTGCATTATCTGTGTAGAGTCTCATACTAAAAAATCAACATTATTATTAATTATGCAAACATTATAGCATTGCATCATTTTTTGTTGTTGTCACGCCCCGAACTTGGGCCTGGACGTAACACGGCACTCGGTGCCTGACTACATGTGACCGAGCGATCCAACTGGCTGGCTGAATCAACATGTGAAATCATAATATACTGAATGCGGAAATAAACTAACGCATGCTGATATACTGAAAGTCTGGATGATATAAATCAAAGTGTGGAAATACTAAAACAAATCTGGAACATATATGTAGCCAACATTGCTTATCATGAAAAGCCTGAGACTCTGTCTAACTGTTACTCTAGTCTATGAAGCCTCTAATTTGTACTGAAAACACTGACTGTCTGAAAATACTGAAGACTGTAGTAATGATAATGCCCCGAAAGAACTGGGGATCACCAAATAGCTGGTACGAGAATCCTAGCGCTCTGAATCATCAACCTGTAAATCATTACCTGCACCGTGAGATGCAGGCCCCAGGCAAAAGGGACGTCAGTACATTTGAATTGCACTGATATGTAAAGCGACTGAAAGAAAGAATTATAAATGCTGAAACTGAAACCAAGCTGATAACTGAGAATTTACAATTGATAACTGAAATGATAACTATTGAAACTAAAACTAAAATGATAACTGGTAACTGATAACTTAACTGATAATTGATAACTGATAACTGAACAGATAACTGGTAACTGATAACTGATAACGGAACTGATAACTGATGACTGAAATGATAACTGATAACTGAAATGATAACTAATAATTGAACTGAACAAAGGAAGTAAGGATATAAATACTCCCTCTTCTGAATGATGAACCACCTGTTTATTTGAATAAATAAGCTGCGGCCTCAGGCCCAATATATATGTGCACAAACTGCGGCCTCGGGCCCAAGCATACGTATACATAACTGCGACCTCAGGTCCAAAATGCATAAAGCATAAACTGCGGCCTCAGGCCCAAATACAGGTGTTCAACATTCAGGAACTAAGAATCAAACTGCAATACATGATAATGAAATACTGAATCACACTGAGTTACATGATACTGGAATACTGGATCACACTGAGTTACATAATACCGGAATACTGGATCACACTGAGTTACATAATACTGGATAACACTGAGTTACATAATACTGGAATACTGAATGGGACTAGACTGAGACATGTATTCTTGAACTGATTATGAACACTGAAACTTCAACTATTTGTGGCATACTGAGTAATCTATACTAAGACTCGGGGGCATCAAACCCAAGTCTATATTGAATACGCACTGAGCTCACAACGTTCAGAATGAAAGTGGTGAACGAGTTATGAAGCTAGAGAATAGAAGTTCTACAACTATTCAAGAAACTAGGCTTAACTATATTTATGAGGCAATTGGTAACGTCGTAAAAGAAACGTAGTGTAGGGAGAATCATTGAATTCCCAAACATAGAGAGTTAGCCTCACATACCTTAACTTCCTGCTCTTGAGCATAATACAACATTCGCCAACCCTTTTACCTTTAATCTATATCAATACAAGTCAAAGGGATTCCAAATTAGCAACAATAGTCATGTTTTGGTCACTTAGGCATTTTATCAAACACTCGGTGGCATAAAGCTTCATAGCCCTTATTAATGGTGTCTCTACACCCAATAACCCATTCTCTTGCTCCTAGATAAATTCTAAAGTCTCAAATTGTTATAATCAACATTATTCTTTATCACCCATAAGGTAATCAACACCCATAACCAATAATAACCAATTAACAACCCAAACCTATCACCGTTCATGCTTTTCTATCAAACCCATCAACTCATATCTCATGAACTAGAGTCTATAATCATTAATTCAATGATATAATCAATTAGAGGGTGAAGATATTATCTTTTTGACGTTCAATCTTCTTGAATTCGAGTTCTAGGGTTTCTTCTCTCAACAATAGTGTCCCAATCGAATATCTATGGAGTGTTTACCCATGTTAATAAGATGTTGGAAAATTGAAATTAACTTAGAATCACCATTAGAACTTACCTTGGGTGGTGGAAGGACCCTTAAGGAGTTAGGTTTTTGAGAGTTTTCCTTTCTAGAGCAAGTTTTTATGTTTTGGGGCTGTGGGGGACGAAATAAGGCTAAAAAAATGACTTCCCAAGTCGTCCACCGCGTCCCAGTAGGCGCGATCGCAGTAAATCGCTGGGACACTGCCTCACCACCGCGGTCGCAGTAAAAACGCGGCAGGAACGCCGTGGTTATACACCATTCTGTAAAACGGGCATAACTTTTTGCACAGACTCCACAATATATCGTTGGAAAGCTATTTCAATGGCCTACAACTTTCATGCTTTGAATTTTCCCAAATTACTTATATATTTTCACTAAACTCTGCTAGAAGACAGACCTTCTGCAAACTTAGTCGATTTTGTCAAATCTTATGCACCTCACTTCTCATCTTGGTTTTGAAACAACTATTTTCACTCATAATCATCCTGATAGGACTTCATATGTCCAAAATATAGCCTTACTACTCCTTTAACTCACCTAATCCGAATGTGCGGGGTGTTACAGTTGCAAACCAAACCCTATAATTATTTTGCAAGATTTTATGTTGTAATTGTTTTTTCTTATACTTTAAATCCAACAAACCCTAAACATATGACCTTGGAGTTTTTGGAGTATTAATTTAGCTAAATTTTACTGGAACTTTAGCCATCACATTCATGTGTCCATCGATTTCTTAATTTTTTTTTACCTTATTCGAATATAATGAAGTGTGAAGTATTCCTATTTTAGTTCAAGAAAACCATTTTTATAAAGAAGTTAAAGAGTGATTATACAGCAAAGCCGGTTCATATCATTTCACAATATATAACTTTAAAAAAAAATTATTGTTACTATTAAATATACCCAGCTTTGTTTCTTTCTTTTTAATATACTCCTTTCTTCTTTTTCTAATTGATCTTGCGCATTTGTGAATTAAGGAACTGTTATAGTGGGAACTACAGTAAAAATAAATTTAATCTTTAAGGTAAAATGGCATTAACAATTAAACTCATGAGAAAATCAACTTATCCATAATGTGACCCTTGTTTTAATTTTAAAACAATAACCATATGGTTATAGTGGGAACTACAGTAAAAACAAAAAAATAAAAAGGGATAAAAAAGAAAAAAAGGAAAATGGAAATGATGCAAGCTTAATGTCAAAGTTAAGTATGTCTTCCACAAATGGATTTTATGAAACCAAAACTTCTAAAATACGCAGAGATATGTTGCCCCCCACTT